GAATACAAGGTGTTAGTTATAATGTTTATATAGGATATCAGTGCACAGTTTTCTCATTTTCACTAGTTTAGGTTAATGATTCTTAAAATTCCTTATAAGATTACCTCTCAGGATAGATAATAAAGTGACTGATTCTTTATAGTCACGATGTGCAGTCTGCCAATAAAAGAAAAAAAATGCTCCTTTCTTGCTCTGTGACAGTTACTCATATTTATTGCATGTGAGTTGTCAGGCTATTCTTTTTCATCTATAATCATTCATTTGAGAAATGGAGTGTACTTCATTTGTTACTCCTGCATTGCCTGAAAAATTTCTGTGAGGTGTGTAAGCTGTGGAGAAAGAGAGAATGGAGGAGAATAAAAAAAGGAACCATCAAGAGAGTGTGTGAATGTTTTTTTCCCCTAACAAAGTCTCAGCTTTTCAGTTTGTGCCAACGCTGTGGATTTTCCCTTCGAGCCCTATGCAGCCTGGAGGCTGGTCCCCCAGACTGCAGTAACAAATGAAGACTATGATACTAACAGAAGCACCATACCTTTCTTGCAGCTAGTGTTTGCATGACACAGTTTTGTTACTTAAACATTGTATATTGATTTTTGAGACAGGCTGTCTCATCCTGTGCCCAAGCTGGGCTGGGACTTGTTTCCTGCCTTGGTCTTCTCATAGCTGTTGTTACAGGTGAGACTCCAGTTCTTTTGACTCTTGTGTTCATCTCTAGAAAGCATCTAGAGACTTTGTTCCCTATGCAGAGTGTGCTCTGCCTGTTGTGCTTATGTGATTTCTAAAAACTCTAAAAATTCATCTTTATTACTGTGTATACGTGTGCTTGCTTGTCTGCGTATGTAGTGTCCGTGGAGGCCATAGAGGGCACTAGCTTCATACTGTTTCTTTTAATGTTACTATTAGATAGCTTAACAATTAAGAATACTTACTGCTCTTGTAAAAAGTCTGAGTTCAGTTCCATTACTTATATATCAGGTGACTCATAACAGCCTTTAATTGCTATTCCAGGGGATCTGACACCTTTTTCTGACCTATATGGGCACCTACACACACATGGCACAACATACATATAAGTAAAAATAAAATCTTGAAGGTAACCATTGAAGTACAGAAGGGAAGAACCATGGGTAATTGACTTCTGGAGCAGAAATATCAGTGTTCTTCAGATGTAGCCCCTGAGAAGTTACCACGCTTCCCTGGGTAGCCCCACATTGCACACATATTGTTATTCTTTTTTAAAGATTCAAGGGTGGACTGGGGGAAGGCCAGTCCCAAGGCCAGTCCCACGAGGGGCAACCAGTCCCACTCCCACGAGTGGTACAAGCGGGTGACCTGAGGCCTCAGTGGGTCACCTTGGTGGGTGAAAGACAGACAGATACATCATGCAGAGAGGCAAGTTTATTTAGTGAGTTATGGAGGGGAAAGGAGAAAAGGGAGAGGGAGAGAGGTAAAGAGTGGAGAGAGAATAAGGAGCAGAAGTTACCTCTTCAGGAAAGAGAAGGAAAGAAAGAGAGCATAGGCTGGAGGAGGCAGGCTATCTGCTTCCCTTGGTGGAAGGGGATGAGTTAGGAGAGGGCGGGCTTGTTTCTTAAAGGGACAGGATACCCAGGTGACAGACTAGGCCAGTAGCTCATAACATGCCCATCTCTTTCTTATAATAAAAAGGTGGGAAGTTAGGCACAAAAGGTTAAAGGAATTGGGACGGCGGATTCTCAAGACTGCTTCCTGCTTATTTGTGGGCGTTATCTTCCCAGTGGAACCTGAGAAAGCTGTGTGCTGGCCACATCCTGGGGTAGCTGGTTGCTTTACTCCTGTCCAGGGTTTGTTGTATGGAACTGTCCAGTGTCTCTTGGACCTGGCAAGGTGTTGGCAGAACAGAGGACAAAGTTAAGTTTAGGAAGATTAAAAAAAAAAAAAAATTCAGGACCAGGGAATTGATTGGGGTGTATCTGACCTGTTTAAGGTGTATCCTTCAGTTTGGCTCCCTGGAACTCACAAGAATTCTTTAGGTTTATGAAAACATAAGTTTTAGACATATACGTTGTATAAACAGTAGCATATTTATGTCAGAATGACTGTGACAAATGTTTTTGCACAATGAAAAGTACTTTTTTTTTTTTTTTTTTAATATTTATTTATTTATTATGTATACAATATTCTGTCTGCGTGTATGGCCAGAAGAGGGCACCAGACCCCATTACAGATGGTTGTGAGCCACCATGTGGTTGCTGGGAATTGAACTCAGGACCTTTGGAAGAGCAGGCAATGCTCTTAACCTCTGAGCCATCTCTCCAGCCCCCTGAAAAGTACTTTTAAGACTATGAAAGGGAGCATAAGAGAGAGATTTGATAACTTGCATTTGTCCTCACACCTTTATAACTTGTAGTACACGCCTTAATAACTTGTATTTGTGTTTTACTGAAATTTATTTGGTGAGGTTGTCCTTTTAAGCAAACAAAACCTCTCAGCTGTCAAACTTCATCAGAGATCTTTGAGAAGGAAAAAATTTTATTTACATTATTGATTAGAAAACAGCAGAGAACTTATGGCTACCTAGATCCCCTCCTTAGGGTCCTCCATAGACGTTGAGGGTTATATTTGCCTTTTGAAGTTTAGTGCAGGGTCTGCCCGGTTTTAGATGATCTTGTGGGTTAGAAATCTATATCTATAGGAAGACAAGCCTACCTTTACCTGAGCAGCTAGGCTGTCAATTCCAGTGATTCTGTCCAAGCCTGGAGATCTTTAGTTTAGATGAAAGACAGTTTTGCCCAGTGTTCTGTCTTCTTTGCCTGCTTTGGAGGAAACAGAGTCTGCGAGGTAAGTCACCTGTTAATGGCAAGTTTAAGAAGATAAAAAACAAATTTCAGGACCAGGGAATTGAGAGGGGTGTACCTGACCTGTTTAAGGTGGATCCTTCAGTTTGGCTCCCTGGAACTCACAAGAATTCTTTGGGTTTGTGAAAATGTAAGTTCCTCAGGAGGGAACCGGTGGAGGCCCTTGCTTATCTAAATGCCTTACCTTGGGAAAAGGACTTGTGGGAAGCAGATACTGACTCTTAAGATTTCTTAGTCTTACTAGGTGGACCTGTTCTCCTCAGAATGCCCCCAAAAGGGACTTCTTACCCTTTTCCCGTGACACCTTATCCTTCTGATCATTCAGTACTGATTAACAGAACTCTTACCTTTAACAACCTCAGGCTTTGCATCAGAATCATAGGCATTTCATCCTTGTGTCTAGTCAATCCCTGACATTCCTGCTAACATTCCTGTTCTTGGTGTAATTAGGAGGAATTACATAGTGAAATTTCTGGTTCTGTGGTGTCAGGGATTTTTTCCCCCAAAGAAGTATATTGTTAAGGGAGGCTACCGTTATATACACTTTTATCCTCTACCAAAAGCCCACCCCCACAAAATTTCCCAGAGGGAAATACTGAGAATCATTAGAAATGAAAATAAAAAGGTACTGGAGAAGTATGGTCTGCAGTGTTAAAATGCTAGAATGTTGTCAAACAGCAATAGTCACCATGTCCCTTCCTCTTGACCCACAAGGCCCTCTTCTACTGCATACTCAATAAAATAAACAAATACGTGAACAGATGAATGAAAGAAGAATTTTTAAAAAAGGAAAGAAAGAAAGGTCCTTTGGAAGGCTTGTACTGATAAGAAAGAGGTGCTGATTGTAAGCTCCTTATACAGTCCTCAGCCCACAGGGTATCCACCAGAGAGAAACTGTTAGAATTTATCCTGGTTAAAGATTATTTTGATTTGGGCTATTGTTTTGGTGTATTTTTCAGAGGTGGTTCTACCATAAACAGGGCTACCAGGTTCTGTAACTCCTGTGCAACATTCAGATGGAAAGCAAAGGAATACAGTGTGGTGCTTGTAGCCTTGTGTGCGGTTGTTTGAATGAGAATGACCCCCACAGGCTCCCACATTGGATTCATTCCCAGGTGGTGGACTGGTGATGGAGATCTGTCTATCTGTTGTTTTCATTGGTTAATTAATAAAGAAAATGCTTGGCCTGATAGGTCAGAACATAGGTGGGTGGAGTAGACAGAACAGAATGCTGGGAAGAAGGGAAGTGAACCAGATGCAATGGAGCTAGCCGCTAGGTCAGACAGGCTGAATCTTTCCAAGTAAGCCACCACCTCGTGGTGCTACACAGATTATTAGAAATGGGTTAATCAAGATATGAGAGTTAGCCAATAAGAGGCTACAGATAATGGGCCAGGCAGTATTTAAAAGAATACAGTTTCTGTGTAATTATTTGGGTGTAAAGCTAGCCCGGTGGCAGGACGCAGCCTACCGCTCCTACTACAGACTGGGAAGGATCAGCAGGCGTTTCCTCTTGGAGGAGCCTCTCATTGGTCTAAAGCCCATTCCTTGTGAATAGGATGTGAGCTCTTAGCTATTGCAACAGCACTATGCCTGTCTGCCTGCCGAGCTTCCTCCCGTGATGGTCCTGGAATAACCTCTGAAACTGTAAGCAAGTTAAATGCTTTCTTTTATAAGTAGTCTTGGTCATGGTGTCTCTTCACAACAATAGAATAGTAACAAAGACACTGTGATATTGTCCATCTCAAAGACCCTGTGTATGAGTGTTTGTCTGCATGTATGTATGTGCACCAGATATGTGACTGGTACCTGTGGAGGTCAGAGGAAAGTATTGGATCCCCTGGAATTGGAGTTATGGATGGTTTGAAACAACCATGTGGGTTCTGGGAATTGAAACCAGGTCCTCTGAAAAATAAAGTGCTCTTAACTGCTGAGCAATCTCTCTATGCTTTAGTGTTTTAAATGATATAGTCATGACATTTGAAGATGGCTGCTTATTAAAGGCTGTGATTATGTTCAGTCATGAACATAGAAAGCTATGCTTTCTGTTTCTGGACTAGCCCACAGCTTCCTCAACTGTCAGACCTGTCATTCAGAAAGACCCCCTTTAGGTTGACTTTCTGAAGAGGCTTTTTGATTTTAACCAGCAGCATCTCCTCTCCCCAGATCCAGATGCAGAAGTGTGCCTTCATGCCTTGCGACTTATCCAATCTGTGGTTCTAGAACCAGAGGTCTTCTCCAAGTTGGCTCTGGAACTCCGAAGCTCCTTACCCCTACAGCGCATCCTGGCCATGTCCAAGAGCCGCAACTCCCACTTGCAGACTGCTGCCCAGGAGCTCCTGGAAGACCTCCGTGCCCTGGACTGCAGTGTTTAAATGCACTTGACCAACAGGGGCTTGGTGAAAATGCCAGTGGCCCTTTCCCTCTCCAGGCCCTTTACCGTTGTGTTCACAACTAGATGGCACTGTGTGTCATGTGTTAGCCATTGAAGGCCTTGACTGACTTGAGATGGACATGATGGGTAAGGTAAGCATCGTGCATTTCCATCCTGAGAGGTCACACTTGTTAGATACTTGGTTATGATTAATCTTGCCAGAGCAATAACCAAAAAAGGTTGTATTCTCCAGTAAGAAGTCCTCTCTGGACACCTGGAAACTCTTCCAGAGCTTTCTCAGAGTAGCTTCTTGCTGCCCTAGAGGCTGCCCACACCAATAGGGTCACTGTAAAGATGGGACCAAGTAGTCAGTGTTTCCCAGAAGCATTTCAGTAATAGTTCATCCTCTTTTTCTAGTACCCATAACCCCTACTACACAGGCTTACTTTGTAACCTTTTGATGAACCTGTTACTTCACATGACACTGGACACTTGAACTCTGTTTTGGTGCTTCTTTTATTTTTGAATAAAGTTGAGTCAATATTAGCTATTACATTGTAAAATACAATCTTGCAGTTAGGAAGTTGGTGTCCTTTGTATATTAACAATGTCATTTGTATAGCAAAACACACTTTCCTTACTTTGTTCTGGCCCTTTGTGAACTTAAAACAAGTATAGGAAAATTACCTCAAGATAAGAAAGACAAAAAGTAAATTACATTAAGCCATCTACCTGCCTCTGCACTCCTGTGGTATGTGTGTGTGTGTGTGTCTGTGTATCTGTGCAGCCATCACACTAGCTTATGTTCTGAGACACTGGCAGAGACATAAGAAAACATGCTGTACCTGTCACAGACAGAGAAGTGTGTGAGAGAATTCCATTTAAGTCAGCATACATCATTCTTTCTCTGGGTTGCTTCCTTGAAGGCAGGGCAAGTTACTGCAGGACATTGAGCTTGGCCCCTGTAAGGGAAGATGTGAATCTCTGTGTCCCCATGCAGTGGCAGCCTCAGCACACATGTTGAGCTGTTTCTATGTGTGTGGTGTTGTAGAATGACTTCATTGTCTTTTAAAAGAATATGTTCTTTATGTTGAACAAAGAACTCAGAGAAAGGTATGGCTACTTGGATCTCACAAGGCAGCCTTTTGTGGAGCACTAACTCAGCAGAGCCAGGGAGATACAAAGCAGCTTAAGATTCATGGAGGGAGATGTGGGTCTTTCTGTGCTTGGTGGCTCTGTAGGTCCGGTTCCAATTAAAAATGAATGAGTACAGCTGGGCGGCCATGCCCTTAATTCCAGAACTCAGAAGGCAGAGGCAGGCTGATCTCTGTGAGTTAGAGGTCAGCCTGGTCTACAGAGTGAGTTCCAGGACAGGCTCCCAAGCTACACAGACAAAACCTGTCTGGAAAAAACAAACAATAACAAAAACAAAGCCAAAAAGTAAAAAATAAGTACACACCTCAGAATGGCATTCCCTTCTTTCTGCTTGCTACTCATCCTAGCAGGAGGAAGCTGTTGTGATTGACTTATGCTTCTTTCGCGATTGCTGAGATTGCTCTACCAAAAAAAGTCTAGCTTTCTGTAGATAAGAAGAAACTGCCAGCCCTATGAATACCATGTGGGTTGGTAGTTATTAGATGGTCATGAGGGTAAGGACTTGATCATTTCTACTCTTCTGAGGTAGGTTCTAGGCAAATGTTCCAGGCAGATTCTCCTAGAATTGCTGTGACATGTTTCCTTTGTGAGTACCATAGGGTGTGCCAAAGGGCCCAGGCAATCGTCCCTGCCCTCCACTACAAGGCCAGCAGGAAAGCATGGCTTCCTTGATTTTTTTTCTGTATCTAGTAAATTGTAGAAAACCCACTTAACTACAAAATAAAAAATATACATTGAAGCATATACGTTGCAGGGACTAAACCCTTGTGCATTTAAAATCCAGAGCTCTTCTTCCTTGGTACCATCAGCTTTTATGAGGAGGTGAGAAACCTGGCAGAGAAATCCAGGCTGTACCGACTCCTGCCCACTGAACCTCTCTGGCTCTGTTCTTAGCACCAGCCTAGGCATCTGCTCCGTCAGGTCTGATTGATCCTGGGTAATGCACAGAGCCATGCGAGGTCTCTGGGGATGGCTTTAGAGACCTGTCTCTTCTCTTCATGGGATAGTCTGAAATCGGCCTGGTGTGAGAGCGTTCTAGTGACAGAGATATGCAGCTCATGTACCGGAAGCTAAAGCATAGAATAACAAGTTTGTGGCCAGAAGAAAAGAATCATGCCAAGGCTGCAAGTCAGTCCATGGCCAAGGAGCAATGTGAAAAAGGTTATAGATTGCCTGCTACACCTGTTCTTCCAGGCCTGCTGTGTGCTGCTGTGACATTATACAGAATGGGAAGGATTGGCAAGTATCTTAAGGAGTCATTATTTTATATCTTTCCATGGCGTAGCTGCTTCAAGTGTCCCAGAAGGGTTTATTTGACCCATGATGATCCCAAGTAAGATCCTAGGGTATCATGGAATGTAGTGTCAGACTCAGCATCCTACCAAGACAGCTGTAAAGATGGTGGGGATCCACTGAATGGTCCTTAGATACTTTTCTCAGTTCAAGCTGGGGGAGTGGTGAGGGCAAAAAACAGTTGGGATAGCCAGCCCCACAAATGTCGCAACTGTCCCATCTCTGAGACTCGGCTGGTTCTGTTCTAAACACGTTCACTTTTGGATTTATCTGGGGATTTAGGATAAGAAGTTAAAGTGTGCTATACAGTAAAAACTGTCTTTGTGATTTTTTTACAAAGTTTTCAAAGCCACAAAATAAATTTAACATAAAATCTTACCATTGTAAGTATAGAATTCAGCAGTATATCCATCACCACCCTCTGTTTCCACGACTTTGTTCTTAACTTAGGTTGAAAGATCCAGTAACTAACTCCCACTCCCCAAGCCTCTCTCTCCTAGCTTTTGGTGTTCCTGTTCTGTTGTTGTGTCTGTGGGTTTAGCTGAAACATTTGTCCCATTTGGTCTGGCTTATTTCCTCTGCATAACGTCAGGGTTCGTGTTTGTCTAGCATTTGTCAGAACCTCACTCTTGTAATGGTGATACAGCCATGTTTATATGACCGCAATGTATGTGTACAAAGGTCTGCTTGAGTTTCTGCTTTTGATTCTTTGGGCATATTCTTTTTCATTCATTCATTCATTTATTGTGTTTTGGGGTAGGGTTTCTCTGTGTAGCCTTGGTGGTCCTGGAACTCGCTCTGTAGACCAGTCTGGCCTAAAACTCACAGAGAACCGCCTGCCTCTGCCTCCGGAGTGCTGGGATTAAAGGCCTGTGCCACCACTGCCCAACTCTTTGGGTGTATTTTTAGTAGTGAAATTGTTGGACCATGTGGTAACACTGTGTTTAATTGTTTTTGCTTGCATATGCATATGTAGTCACACATGCATGTATATGTGTGTTCAAGTGCATGTGTGAATTTAGAGGTCTAAAGTTGATGTCGGATGTTTCCCTTAGTCTTTACTACATATGAGGTGATGTATGTATGTATGTATATATATATACCAAACCTGGATTTCCTGATTCCAGCTAGTCTAGCTAGCCAGCTTGCCATGGGGATCCCCTGACTTTCCTTGCTGAGTGATAAGTATTACAGTAGCTGCCACACCACCTGACTTTTTTTATGGGTTATAAGGATCCAGGTTTTGGTCCTCACATTTTCATGGCAAATTTTTATCCCCGGAGCCATCTTCTCAGTCCATTCCATGGTCAACTTTTTGATGAATTGCCAAACTGTTGTCCACAGAGCAACTGCACCAATCTCCGTTCTCACCAGCTGCAATGCAGGGAGTCCTCATCTACCCCCTCTTTGCCAACACCTTCCCTTTTCTGTCTTACTGAGAGACCATTGATGATAGATAGTAGCTGTGAGCCTGGTCCCACGGTGACCACATTTGTTTTCATCTCTGATGGCGAGTGCTGCCTCTAGTGGCCATTGACGTGGCTGCTGGGGAGAGGAGTCTGTTGAGGTCCATGAGATGGTTTGGGGGCTTTTTTTGTTGCAGAGCTGAAGAAGTTTTTGTGTTTAGGATTCTTCATCAGACTCAGAATTGCAAGTGCTCACCGTCACTTTGTGGGGCGTCTTCACTGTTTGTGGTGTCCTCTGACACGGAGGAGTTGTTCATTTTGATTGCATGCAGCTTTCATTTCTTTCCTTGCTTTACATTCAGTGTCATAACTAAGAAATCAGCAAGTCTGCACTCATGAAGGCAGCCTCTGCTTTCATTTGACACCTGTGGTTTTCTCTATTTGGTTTAGATCTTTCATACACTTGGGTTTTGGGGTTTGTTTTTTTTTTTTTTTTTTTTTTTTTTTGAGATGAGGGTCTCACTGTGTTGTCCAGTGTTGCTTTTGCTTAGACTTAAGCAGTCTTCCTGCCTCAACCTCTTGAGTAGCTGAGGAACCTGACCTGTCACCACTTCCAGCTCATGCATTTTTACATATAGTACAAGGCAAAGGTCTGGGTGTGTAGATATCCACTTTTCCAAATACCATCTGTTGAATTTTATGATTGTCATTTTAACATGTCATCACAAATGTCATTTTCAGAACTTAGAAAGTGATGTATGTTTTTTTAATTCGGCTTCATGAGTAGCTCTTGTTCTAAGGATTATGCCCAGGGGGGCTCCCTGACTTGTCTTGTTCTCCACAAAGATGAGTCTAAAGTTCCTAGAACACACCTGGCACGTGACTGGCAGTTGAAAATGTGATGCCTACTCACATAGTCTAACGTGGTTTTTTTATTGAAGGCATTTTTATAGCTCCATCTTTATGCAGAATATTTCTGTACATGTCCGTGAAGAAAATTCCGGGCAGCAGGAAGAGGCAGAAGGCCAGAGAATACTCATCCAGGGCCCACAGGTAGGGCGACTTGAGTGCAGCTGTGGGAATCTTTGTGATGCGTGTTGTATGACAGCTGGGTGTTTGAAGGTAGGGCAGGGACAACTCTGTATTACATTTACATATAAAAGGATGGGATGTTTTGAGCATCAAATGGGCACAGTATCTGTCTTTAATCATGCTGCCCTTTCCTATCCTTATACATGATCAGAAACCATGATGTCAAGATGAGCAGTGGGCTTGGTATCTGCAAACACCTCCCCAGGATAAAATACTCTTCCTCCTTGGTTCTCAGGGAGCCAGGGGCCCTGATGAATGAAGCTGGACTAGGCAATGAGGGCAGCCTCCAAGAGGTGCAGCATGGATGCAAAGGCTTGAGCCAGCCTGAGCATGGTGGCTTTTCTTTTCAAGGTGAATCACAGCCACAAGAAGCAGGCATCACAAATAAACGCCACATGCTCCTGTGCAGCCAAGTGTGTGGGCTCCTCTCATATGATGTATTGTATCCCCACTGCTTTATGCATTGTGCTCAGGACATTTCCTCTTCCTGTCCTCCCTGCAGACTACATCCAAGGCCCACTCTGTGGATTGCTATTGGATACTGTTTTTGCCTGGCTACTATGCATACACATGTACCGTATAGCATGGATAGCATGGGCCAACACAGAGGCAACATATTCCT